CATCCGCTCTGCGATGTTGGCGCCGTGCAATGCCAGATGGAGCCCAAGATTCAGGTGAAATGGGACTGAACGGAATTCGACGGGGATGTGCTGGGTTAGGCCAGATGTCGACCACGTATATATCACCGCCGGGGCTGAATTGAACAGCCCAAATGTTGCATCTTTAGTCGGGGGAGGAGGAGGGTTCCGTGTTTCGCCTCTGGAGGCGGAGGATGCTAAGGGATGCTCTTCGACTCTGGAGGTCGACGGGAAGGAGTAAGTTCAGGAAGAGGCAGGGAGGGATGAGGTGGTGGTGGCTTTGAACACCTCCACCCGTTCATCCTTGCTTTGATTTGCCTCCGCCATCTCCGCACGTCCCCACCACACCTCGTCTTCGTCATCCCACCATCCTTCTCAATGCACTCCTCGTCCGTGCCGTCTTCATGTCTGAGGTCCTTTTTTCCCTTCGCAACGGCAACACCAATCCCCCTCACTCGTGTCGCCTCTTCCACCACTCATGTACTCTCATACAGACACTTCTGCCACTGATGCTCCTACCTGGTTCATCTTCATAACGATCATGGCCAGATCCATGACCCCTAATCACAACTGACACCTCCACTACTAATTGACGATTCTCTACTGCTAGGGGCTAAGGGCTAAGGGTAAGCCACTAGCTGCTAAGAGGTTTGCTGATGGGTGCTATCGGGGCGACGAAGGACACGACCACGATACTGATCACTGTTACTATAACTGTTACTGTGAAACTCATACTCCTTCATGTCCATCGTTTCTTTCTGCTCTCCACTGCGCTACCCCTCTTGGACGGAGGCTGCTACTTGGGAGCCCCTGGAGTTCCCTGGGCCTCGCGAAGAGAGCTCTGGAGGCCACCCCGGCCTCCCTGACAATGCTGAGACCACCTTGGGCCAGCCAGGGCCACATCTTCTCCGAGCCCCCCGTCGGCATCAACACGCGTCACAAGCAAACACCAGCAAACACAAGCGCGTCACAACAGCAGACACAAGAGAACACCAGCAAACACTAGCGAACACCAGCAGACACAAACGCCCCCGTGGGCTACATACATGGGTAGACACAAGCGCGTCGCACGCACACACGCAGAAACACACAGAGTCTCCTCAGCCAGCGATATGGCACCACAATCGCGATCATCAATTTGTACGGACAGCACACCTGTGAATACGCACACACACACACACGCGCACACACACACGCACACCCTCTCTCACACGCGCGCACACACGAAATGAGTAGTTCACCGTCGCCGGCCCGGTGAGCAACCTGACAGGAGGCCACGTTGCACTGACGACACCACACACTGTGAGGGATAGAGAGAGAGAGACAACAACAACAATCACAACAATCACAAAAATCACAACAATCACAACAATCACACCAACAACAACAACAACAACAACAACAACAACAGCAACAACAACAATCATACTAACAATAACAACAACAGCAACAACACCAACATCGGCAACAACATCGACAACATCATGAAACAAATGCGAGGGTGCCGCGAGCGCACACACGCCGGGATGGGCGAGGCCAGGGAGCCTCTTTGTCCGCGGCGCTGTCTAGGGCGACGAGCTCGCCGAAGAGCCTCTCGCCTGCCCAGGGCGACGCTTGTAACTTGGTCAGGCGTCCCCCTACTGGCGCATTGGGGAGGACAAACCATACATCAATACATATATATATGTATATGTATATATACATATAGATATGCATATATACATGTATATAGCAAAAAGCGCAACACATACTCAACTATAGCTAACCAATAATCAACATAATGTCCCCAGACTATTTTTTGACTATGTTTGAAGATTCCTCATGTAGAGGGACATGCCCGACTTCAGGGAAGGGGGGAGGGGCAGGCCTTTTTTGGTTTCCTTCTCGCCGACCTAAGAGAATGGTATCGGCGACGTCAGAGCTTGGTCAGAAAGATGTGCAGCCCCGACAGGATCGACCAAATCTGTAAGCAGGCAGACGGAGCCTGGAGCGGGCAACCAAAGCTGGGCCCCGGGGCGCCAGCGCCTTGCGCGGGGGCATCATGCGCACCCACCGCGCCTGCCGCCGCTCGGGTAGCCTCGCCGAGGCTGGGCATACCAGCACTCAGCAGCTGCAGTCACGAAGACGCTCCACGACCTGCCCGCGCAGCCTCCTTCCGCTCCTCCCCCCCTCCCCCTCCCACCTGCCCCTCCTTTGAGCAGGGACCGACCGTCCCGGCATTCCAATAGTCAAACAACGAAATGTTCTTAGAACCCCAACATATTGTTAGAACAAAAGCACTGTCCTTAGAGCATCAACCCGATGTGTGAAAACAAACCAGTCCCAGCCAGAAATGTTCTGAGAACATTTCGTGGGAACCACGAAGGGTTCTTAGAACAGTGTTTGGTGGGGCTATAGGCGAGCCGGGACGCTTCCCCTCCCGCCTCCCCCTAAAACAGGGCTAGGATCGGGATACATCGCTCCAGAGCGTTCCGGAGCGCTCTCAGAGAGTTCCGGAACGCTCTGGAGCGGCCGCGGCGCCCAATACATCCTCCAAACCCGCCGATTCTCAGAGATTTCGAGTTATCCCGATCCGATTTTGTCCCGATCTTCGCGTCGTTTTATCTCCCTACGTGCCCCGCCCGGCCCTCGCCGCCTGCGGCCCGCCGCGCGGCGGCCGTGCGGGCCGTGCCTCCCCTGCCCGTGGAGCGGGGCCGCAGGTCGGCGGAGGGGCAGAGGCTGCCGCGCCGGCATCATCGCGCCCAGCAGGAGGAGGAGGAGGCGGAGGAGGAGGAGGAGGCGGAGGAGGAGGAGGAGGAGGAGGAGGCGGAGGGAGGAGGAGGGGGAGGGGGAGGAGGAGGAGGAGGAGGAGGAGGAGGAGGAGGAGGAGGAGGAGGAGGAGGAGGAGGAGGAGGAGGCGAAGGAGGAGGAAGACGGGCAGAGGCTGCCGCGCGCCGGCAACCTCGCGCCCCCGGGGCCTCTGCGCGCGGCGCCGCACCCGTGCCGGCGCCGCGGCCAGGCACATGCGGCGCGGGCGCCGCGGAGGGCAGCAGCAAAAACTCCTCCTCCTCCTCCTCCTCCTCCTCCTGCTCCTTCTCCTCCTCCTGCTCCCTCCTCCTCCTCCTCCTCCTCCTCCTCCTCCTCCTGCTCCCCCTCCTCCTCCCCTGGGGCCTCTGCGCGCGGCGCCGCACCTGGGCCGCCTCCTCGGCCATGCACATGCGGCGCGGGCGCCGCGGAGGGCAGCAGCAAACACTGCGAGGGGGCGCGTCGGCGCAGGGAGCTTCGCCGCCGCGCCCTCGCGGTGGCTCGGCCTGCCCCGGGGGACGAGCTCAGGCTGCTCCCCCGGGGCGTGTCCAGATCGCAGAGGTCGGGAGCGGCCAAGAAAGGGGGGAATGTCCAAGAGGGGGGGGGGTGCAGATCATGACCGGCGGCACGTGCGCGGCCCAGCGGGGGGGCCAGGGACGTAATGAAATTAAGGAGAGGCGCCATAAAATCAGGGGAGATATCATGGCCCCCGCCATGATATCCACCCTCCCTAGTCATCACCCCCCTCTTTTCCACCCCCGAAGAGAGCAATGTGTAAGAAATGTGATGGAAATCATCATGTCTCCAAAGCGCACAGCCGCTCCCGAGACGCCAAGCCTTCCCGATGGAGCCCAGCCGCTGCTGCGTCATTCCTGTACAAGCACTCAGGCATCGAAAAGCCCTGAGACTGGTATCGCCCCGGGCAAGGCCAAGTGCCCGAGCCGTTGGACGACAAGAGGTCCGCGCAGAGTGGAAGCAGGCTTCTGCTCTCACGCGATCAGGTGAAGGCGGGGAAGCCACAGCCGGAGGAGCCGTGCTCCTTGCATAAGTACAGCCGGGCCCTTCTTGGCCCTGTAAGCGCCTCCGTGCTCCAGGAGGGCAAGAGAAACAGCACTGGAGGAACCCCAGGAACATCGAGCCCCTTCCGAACCCAAACTGTTCCTTATTTAAATTTAAACGTCTTGACTGTAGGCTTCTACTCTCATGCGGTCAGGAGGAAAAAGAGGCCGTGCCTCGGCGATGTGACTGGTCAGGAGGCTTGCCGGCAGCTGGGGCTCGGGAGCCTCCACGCGGCGGTCAAGAGGCTGCGCGATGCGGTGCCTCATTTCGCCCTCTCCTCAAGGATCGGAGTTCGAGGGCAGGGCTGGACCTAAACGGTGTTTTTCGCTTTCGTTTTGCTTTCGTTGTCCCTCGCTTTTGTCTTCCATCCGCCTTTGCTGCAAAACGAGGTCGAAACGAACACGGCCCACGAAATCACCAAACACACCGTTTCGGTCTGGCCCTGCTCGAGGGTATGTACCCTCCCTTGTGCAGGAGCCCTCCTCCCTCATCATCCCTCCCTTTCTGCCTGGCCCTCCCCGGGAACCGCCAAGGAGCACCAACTGCGGGCGGGAGCCGACGGCGAGGGGCTCGCAGCAGCGCTGACTGACGGCTCCAACGCTGCCCCGTCCCGGCTCCCAGGCCCGCTGACCGTCCGAGGGCACGCGGCCCTTCGGCGACTGGCTGCTGGCTGTGCTGCACTTGATCGGGTGAAACGGAAGGCCGGGGATGAGCCGCCCCTGCCTGGGTCGTGCAGACTGAAGGCGTCCTCAGAGCAGCGCCACTCATCTAGCTATGCAAGTTGCCGGCTGGCTAAACGTCCAAGCCCTGGCGCGGTAGAAACGGTGGGGAGCTGAAGAAAAAGAGTGCGAGTGCAGTGAGTGCGGCAACGGCGCTGTTCTGATCGCTGAGCCCGTGCACACGCAGACGAGGTGGCCTAGTAGAGGGCCGACCCGCAGAAAGACGCAGATGACAAGCAGCCATTCGCGCCTGCATTCACTTGGGCCGCTGAGGTACGCGATTATGGAACATCTCGCGGAGAAGCAGATCGGCGACACACCACCGACACCAGCACAAATCTCTGCTTGGAGGCAGAGCGTAAATTCACCCAACGGTGATCTGCCTCCCCAGGCCCGTCCTCCTCATATCCCCCTCATCATCGCCCTCCTCCTCATTGAGAGATCGGTGTGCGAGCATGCAAGACGAGCTTCTGCAAGCAGGAAAATGTGGCAGCGGTGCCAACATCTGCCCGCCATATAGGGGCAGCCGCCCCGGCGCGTCACTTCCCGGGAGGCGCGGACGAGGAGCGCCGGAGCTCCTTCGGAGTGCTGCTCACCACGAGCGTGACAAACGTGTTCTGCACGACCAGCTGGCACTCCACCCCCTCCTGCTCGGCCTCGAGCTCGGCCACGCACGGCACCCACGCGTCGCCCTCGGAGGGCCGCTGCTGCCCCGGGCTGCCCGGCTCGCGCTCCGACGAGGCGCCCTCGGAGGTGCTGCCGGTGGGCGCCGGCGGCCAGCACTGCGGCGGCGCGGCCGCCTCCGCACTGCAGGCGCGCGAGCTCGCCTTGCTGCCGGCGCGCGAGTGCTCCTCGCTCCTGGCGGGGGTGTTCAGCTCGTGGTGGCCGTGGGCGAAGGTGCAGTCGTCCTTCCGGCAGGTCCCCAGCAGGTAGAAAGAGCACATGCGCGTCTTTCGGGGATGGACAAACCTCCCTTTAGTAAAACGTGGTTCAGTGAAAACGACTTCGGGCCCAAACCAGGCGGGCGCAAGCCTGAAAACTAACGGCCACGGCGCCCTCTCGAAAACCGAAAACGGACAATTCACTAATCGACGTGTCACTGTTGGGGGTTCTGTCCACCCCCGAGCCTTGTACTTCTTGTGGCACATGAGCTGCTCGGGGCGCCGCTCGCCCCCGGGGCACACGGGCAGCTGGCGGTCGAGGCCGCCGTCGGAGATCCGGCCAGCGTTTGCTCTGATACCGTGGAGGCTCAGCTTGAGGCTGCCCTTGCCTGCGCCGAGGTCACTGTGGAGGCCGACCGTGCAGTCGCTGCTCGCGTCGGAGGTTGCCTGCCCGCCGCTGGGCGGGGCGGCCGCGCCGCAGCTGCTGCGGCAGTGCCCCGCCCGGAAGGCTCGGTCTGACCTCTTCTTCGTCTTCGCGGCGACGTCTCGATCCACAACGGGCAGGTACGGTTTGAACTTGCGGACCTCGCCGGCGTAGTGGGCAAAGGGGCAGCTCGGGTCCTCGCAGCGCAGGCCCTCCGCCACCGTGGGGCACGGCTTCGTGCGTTGGAGGTCCGGCTTCTCCCGCACGTCGTGCTCCTCGTGGGCGAAGTCGCACGCCGATCCGCGCTTGCACGCGCCCTTCTGGAAGAAGCTGCAGAGCTCCGTCTTGCGGCACATCAGCCTCAGACGTCCGCTCTTCACCAGCGTCATCTTGGGGGTAACCTGATGCCTTCGCGGTGACGGCGACGAAAATGGGGAGCCCCAACCTTGAGCCCAAATGGCTACGGAAAGAGGGGCAGGCCTTTTGGTGTCTGCTCTTTGGGAGCTTACGAGGCCCCCAGCGCTGTCCGATGTAGGCCTGAGTGTTGACAAGGCTTGGATTCAATCGGGCCTGTCTCAATACAGGGGGATTTTTCGACGAATAAAAATGATCCCCGCAAAGCAACATAACAGCGATGTGTATAAGCATATCTGGAAGCATTCCCCTTCAGGTGAGAATCCAGTTGTAGAATTCTGCTGTTCTCGCAGTCGCAGTCGCATTCGCATTCGCAATGACAGTCGCAGTGGCAACGGCCTTGGGATCCAATGGAATCCTAAGGATTCCTAGGGACTCCTAAGGCATCCTTAGGAATCCATAGGAATCCTTAGGAATCCTGATTCCTAGGGATTCCTATGGATTCCTTAGGAGTCCTAGGGAATCCTGAGGATTCCGAAGGATTCGCCTGCCTCGGCCTCAGCGTCAGCCTGCCTCAGCATCAGCCTCAGCCTCAGCCTCAGCCTCAGCCTGTCTCAGCCTCAGCCTGCCTCAGCGTCAGCCTCAGCCTCAGCCGCAGCCTGCCTCGGCTTGTCTAGGCCTCAGCCTCAGCCTGCCTCGGCCTCAGCCTCAGCCTGCCTCAGCCTCAGCCTCAGCCTCAGCCTGCCTCAGCCTCAGCCTGCATCAGCCTCAGCCTCAGCCTGTCTCAGCCGCAGCCTGCCTCAGCCTCAGCCTCAGCCTCAGCCTCAGCCTCAACCTGCTTCAGCTTCAGCCTCAGCCTGCCTCGGCCTCAGCCTCAGCCTCAGCCTGCATCTGCCTCAGCGACAGCCTCTCAGCCTCAGCCTGCATCAGCCTCAGCCTCAGCCTCAGCCTGCCTCAGCCGCAGCTTGCCTCAGCCTCAGCCACTGCCTCAGCCTCAGCCTCAGCCTGCCTCAGCTTCAGCCTCAGCCTCAGCCTGCCTCGGCTTGCCTCAGCCTCAGCCTCAGCCTGCCTCGGCCTGCCTCAGCCTCAGCCTCAGCCTGCCTCGGCCTCAGCCTGCGTCAGCCTCAGCCTCAGCCTGCCTCAGCCTCAGCCTGCCTCGGCTTGCCTCGGCCTCAGCCTCAGCCTGCCTCGACCTCAGCCTCGGCCTCAGCCTGCCTCAGCCTCAGCCTCAGCCTGCCTCAGCCTCAGCCTGAGCCTGCCTCAGCCGCAGCTTGCCTCAGCCTCAGCCACAGCCTTAGCCTCAGCCTCAGCCTGCCTTAGCTTTTGCCGCAGCCTCAGCCTGCCTCGGCTTGCCTCAGCCTCAGCCTCAGCCTGCCTCGGCCTCAGCCTCAGCCTCAGCCTCAGCCTCAGCCTCAGCCTGCCTCGGCCTCAGCCTGCATCAGCATCAGCCTCAGCCTCAGCCTGCCTCAGCCTCAGTCTCAGCCTGCGTCAGCCTCAGCCTGCCTCAGCCTCAACTTCAGCCTGCCTCGGCCTCAGCCTGCGTCAGCCTCAGCCTGCCTCAGCCTCAACTTCAGCCTGCCTCGGCCTCAGCCTGCGTCAGCCTCAGCCTCAGCCTGCCTCAGCCTCAGCCTGCCTCAGCCTCAGCCTCAGCCTGCCTCGGCGTGCGTCAGCCTCAGCCTCAGCCTGCCTCGGCCTCAGCCTGCCTCGGCTCGGGCATTCAAAATATGGCACAGGACTGGTGTTCTGGGATGCACGAAGATCACGAAGTGGCCCGCAATGTTGGTGCCGGGCAATCAAAATATGGTACAAGAATTGTGTTCCGGGAGCACGAAGAACACGAAATTGCATACAGCTGGCTCGGGGCATTCAAAATGTGGCCTGGGAATGGTGTTCTGGGAGCACGAAGAAAAAGAGGTGGCTTACAGTTGGCACAGGGCATTCAAAATGTGGCCTGGGTATGGTGTTCTGGGAACACGAAGAACACGAAGTGGCCCACAGTCGGCACCGGGCATTCAAAACGTGGCCTGGGAATGGTGTTCTGGGAACACGTAGAACACGAAGTGGCCTACAGTTGGCATCGGGCATTCAAACGAAATGGCCTACAGTTGGCTCCGGGTATTCAAATTCTGGGAATGGATTCCAAGGGATTCCTAAAAATGTGTAAGGATTCCTAAGGATTCCTGGGGCTGCACTTTTGTCCGGTTCCTTGTCCGGATCCCGCCCAGACCCCCCTGGGGCGTCAAGATGCTCTCTTTTGATCCCACTAGAAACCTATCAGCAAAAGCTGTTAAGTAAAACATGCCCGAAACATACTCAAAAAGTAACCCAAAAATAATCTGGGGACTATTTTTTGAGTATTGTTTCACCTTCTTGGGGCATTTTTTGTGTATCTTTATTTTTCGTCGAAAAATGTCTCTGTAGGGGGACAGCCCCGACTTCGATGTAGGCTGAGTGTTGACCAGGCTTGGAACACACGCGGGACCAGATTTTGTCGGGAGCACGAGAGGGAGGCGGAGCACGAGGAGGAGCACGAGGAGGGAGGAGCACGAGAGGGAGGAGGAACACGAGAGGCAGGAGGAGCTGGAGGGGCGAGGAGGAGCACGAGGAGCGGCCAAATACGGCCCACATGCAGAAACAGGCGGCTTCAATGTAGCCTCAGGTCGGGCCTGTCCCCCTGCAGGCCGATTTCCGAGGACAATTTTTTAAAAGTTTAAAACATCTGTCACAACAAGTACTCAACAACGAGTTCCATGCAATTTCTTGGCCACTCTTGAATATTCCCCCTGCAGGGGAACGGGCGCGACGTAAATGTAGTAGCCGCCCAAGGCTCCCACGCGAACCTGTTCTTGACTCCGGCCGCGAAGGATCGGCGAGCAGCGGTCGGGCAGCGGCGGGACGCGCCGGGGCAGAGTGCGGCACGAGAAGGGCTCCCACTTGGCGGGAGCGGCCAAGAGGGGGGTGTCCAAGAGGGGGAGGTGCAAATCATGACCGGCGGCGTGTGCGCGGCCCAGCGGGGGGGCCAGGGACGTAATGGAATGAGAAGAGGCGCCATGAGATCTGGGGAAATATTTTGGCCCGCGCCATGAAATCCCCCCCCCCTAGCCATCACCCCCCTCTTTTCCGCTCCCGAATTGGCGGTGGACAAGTCTCCCTTTTGTAAACCATCCTTTGGTGAAAACGGCCTAAGGCCGAAACCGACGGACCTGGACCCGCAAAAAGGACGGCCGCGACGCCCTCACGCGAACCGAAGACGGCCAATTCGCTAATCGACGTGTCAGGGTGGGAGGTCGATCGACCTCCGAGACTTCAGTGTAGCCGCCCAAGGCTCCCACGTGAACTTGATCTGCGGCCGCGAAGGATCATCAAGCAGCGGTCCGGCAGCGGCGGGACGCTCCTGTTGGAATCTGGCTGGCAAGCTCAACGGAATCAAGCTCAACGGACTCAACGGACTAAATAGTAAACGGACTCAAGAAAACAGCAAATTCCCGGAATCAAGCTCAACGGACTAAATAGTAAACGGGCTGTTTCCGGGGGGGAAAAAAACGTGCTCAGTTTTAGCAGCCGCGGGGTTGCCAGCCTTCGCCCCGCTTCTGAGCCCGGGCAAAGGGCGGCACGAGAAGGGCTCCCCAAAAAACAGACACGGCGAGCTCCGGAAACCCTGAACCAGCCAGCCTTGCCACCTCTTGGGGGGCGGTGTGCTTCTTCGCTGGTCTCAGCCGGCCTTCCGCCGAGGGGGGAGAGAGCAACTCCTTCGGCACGCGAAGGCGAGGCCCTGTCTTAAGTGCCTCATATGGGAACGCCTCCTACAGCCACAGGAGGAGGAGGAGGAGGAGGAGGAGGAGGAGGAGCCTCCTGCCGTCCTCCTGCCCTTCTGCGAATGGCGAGACGGGCGCGAACCACCCACCCATAGGCTCCCCCCCCGACCAGCGCGGGCACCAGGAGCAAGCTGCCCTCCTCCTGGCCAGACATCTTCCCAGACGATGCAGACCAGCCACCACCAGCCACCACAATACCATTGTGGTAGATCGCAGAACATGCATACAGAGGGAGAGAGAGAGAGAGAGGGAGAGAGAGAGCGATAGACGACACACTGAAAACTCTGAGACCGTACGCACGTTTTCGACGATGCCTGGATCCCCGGAGCTCTGAGGCACCTACTTCCCAGCGGCCAGCCGTTCGTTCTGCCATGTTTTTTGGGACGGTCCTGGGGTTGAGGGGCCTTGCGGGCCCCCACAGGCCGAACCTACTCCAGATTTCGTAATAAAAGGGAGGGGGTCACAACCCTCCCAGACGAGAAGTTTTAGACCCCCCCCCGTGGGAGAACCCTCCAAAACATCGTCCCCAGACCCCCCCAGGCCCTCCAAGATAGCCTGGAAGAGACCCCCCCCGAAATAAGACCCCCCTCCCTTTATTACGAAATCTGGAGTAACCAAAGACTAGCCGCTCTTCACTTGTTCGAAGCTTCGGATCCCTGGGGAGTCGCCACGGATCGGCGGCATCCGGACCCGACCCTCGCCATCGCTCGGGCGCCCATCCCCTGTGTTTTTGTTCGGTTTCGTGCGTGTTTTTTCGCCAAGTGATCAAGGATGCTCCTCGATGGTCCTCGCCGAAAAAAAATACACGCGTCCGAGCGATGCCAGGGACCCCCACCAACCATCGATTCTCCTGATGGGAAGCGGAGGCAGGGTTAGGACTTCGCCACGTGCCCGACGAATCGCGACCCTACCCCAACGGCATATGACGCGGCGGGGAGGAGGAGGACGAGAGGAGGAGGCGGAGGGAGGAGGAGGAACGATTTGTTCATCCCTGTTTGGCAATGCTTGAGTATTTGTTCGTGCCTTGTCGGCTATGTTTGAGTACATGTCGTGCCTTGTGGGCCATGTTTGAGCGTTGTTGGCTACCCTGTGCACTTGACGATGGCGAAGCAGCCGAACAGTGAGACGGCCAAGACTAAGACACCCCCCCAGGCCGCATCAAGCCAGGCCCGAGCTCGGGGATCTGCTGACCCGGGTCAATCCAGACCCGGGTCGGTCGGGCCTTGCAGGACCCTGCAAGATCCTGCACCCAAGCCAGGATCAACGCAAAGGATCCTGCAGGATCCTGCACCCAAACCCGGGCCAATGCGCCCCGGACCTTGCCGGATCCTGCCAGATCGGGCGCTCTGGCTG